CTGAAACAATACGTTCATCCGAACACCTACGAGATTTCAGAAACACAGAACAAACAGAAAAGAAACTACTATTTTAACATCAAGATGGTTTGCAAATCAATACACAATAATTATTTTAAAGTTATCTCAATAGCAACAAACAACAGAGTGGAAGTACAGAGTTACATATTCTATGTTGGTGTAAAGGGCAGTAAAGTTGGTGTTATTAATATTCCCCCCCAGTAAACTGAAACAAGACCTAGACCGGATACCTTGGGTTGCATTACGATCATCACATCACGTCTTGCTGGAGGCAAGCTCTTACCCCCGTATATAGTCTTTAACATCTTCTAGAGATGTCAATACTATGTCAGTGATGAGCACAGCGTGGTGCTCCGTGTAAATTTGCTAACACACATTACACTGGAGATTCCCAGTCTACACCGATCTGGGAGGATCGATCACTGTTGCTGCAGGGCGAACATCACTGACCTTGGGCTGGTACAACTCCTATATACAATACTGCTATAGTGGATGGAGAATGTGCACACAAATATCCTCTAAATCAGGATAATTAGGCGCCTGTCACACGATTCATCTGCTTGTTGTGAATCCTTTCAGTGTCATATTGCACCGGAATTATTAATGTCCTACCTAAATAGCTTTGATAACCAGGGTAACCGAGTGTGGTCATATTTCAGCCAACACTGACCAGGTCTCCAAGTCTGACCATCAGATCCACAAGTCGCCTCAATGGACCAACATTGTTTACCCGAAATCTGTTTAATTAACTCTGTTGTAGTTCTGAAAGAATAGAGATAAATATATAATTAACAAAATGGAAATTCATGCAAAACAAGGTAGGATTATATTAAAGCATCTTTACCGATGAGTTTAACAAAAGAATCAGCCGACATAGAGTGATTGACACGATGAGCATCGATCAACATAATCGGAATATAGTAACATGCATCAGATCAGTCCAAGCCAGACTAGCCATCACCTGCATGGGTTGATGGAAACCTTGTCTGAATCTTCACGGATCTGCAGGTGACAGAGCAAGGCTATAATGTTTTTCGTCAATGTAATGAGGGACCAAGTCATGTACCATGATCAAGTTGCATTATTACAGTGATTACCTATTGAAGTGTCTGAGAAATTGTCATATGCCCCTTTCGGTGCCAAGATCTGGAGATCTATTTTTAATCTTCCATACAAGCTTTAAATGTATACACTGTTATTTTCTCAGACATTTGGGTTGATTTAGGTGATTATAAATCCGGATCATCTGGGATATTAATATTATGGATATATACCCCGCAACATTTACCCTGACAGGCATTGGAAGAAAGTATCATCGTCAAAAATGTTTCCAGAGAGTAAAGATAGGGTAAGATTATAAAGTTCAGAAAATCCAACAGACAATGTGAGATATTTCTAAATGTTACATGTTTGTTTACTGAAATATCATGCCGTTTATTTCTATGGGGGAAGGAAGCCAGAAGTCATGCAGACCACCCTCAAAACTTACTGTTACATGTATGGTGAAGATAAACGTTCGCAAATAATCAGAGCGAAACGGGATTCGTACTACCCACGAGATATTTTGGCATGCCCATTGAACGAAACGAATCTAGCGGTTTAGATGACAGGGCGACACGTAGCTATCAAAAAATTATTGTACACAAAATCACTTTCAATGGAATAAATTCTTGGCAATGATAAGACAGGTCAGATATCTAACGATTGCATTATACTATACCATATGAGTTGACCTTTCAAGTTTCACTGTGAAAAGATGTCCGTGATACCAACATAATCATTACACCAACTTTGCATATAACATTCATGTTGCACACGCGGACTGTATGTTTCGATCATGCCCAAAGGAAGTTGAAATCTCATTGAAACAGCGGCCATCGTTCAGAGTGACAGCTCAATGCTGATAAATACATCAGAAACTTGTTTCGTTAGTCAGTTCATCTCGCTGCTAATCAGACAGCAAAGGCGTATCTCCGTGGAAAGGTAAACTTTATATTTGAACAACGCCAAAATGAACCACATATTTATGTCACTCGCAGTTTGTTGTTATTTTCAATGACAATGAGGTAAGACATAACATAACCCTGATTTGTTTGTATTCATTTCAGGACAGCGATGGACGTTTACATCATACTAAGCGTTGTACTTACGTTGTTGTCATCACAAGATATTTTATAGTTGGCTTTAATTAAACATTAAAGTGCCTTACACAGTGTGTTCACACTGAACAACTTTCTTTGTTGTAGCAATTGGTGTGTGAAGTTACGTGATATTTGCCCGAGTCCCCGTTAATGTGTAAGAAAGTTGACTTTCGTGTGTGGTGCAACAGTTCTCAAGCGTTTTCTGACACCAAGCGTCTGCCAATCAAATCAGGATTTTCTAACACATCGAAATTCAAACCGACGTTATAGTTTGTTCCACTCTACGGTTAGACGGAGTATTTTCGATGTTAGATACTAAGGACCTATTATCAACCTTCATGTTTCATATGTCTTAACGTTTGTGTTTGTATTTCTTGTTTACTGAATTGTCATCATGCCATTGTTGTCTGGCAGGAACTGTACTGCCCTCTTCGTCTGTCCACTGTTTATTGTACTTACTGCTGAAATTAACATTTTGATTGAGGAATTTTAAGATTCAGTTACTGTGATTACTTTTATGTTTGTAAACCATACAAAATATCATATCGAGAAGAAGATGTTGGCTTGAGGCGTTGCCCCAAAAAATGAAAGGTGATTTTTATTGTTTCTTTATTCTTTGTTAGTACCAAATATTAAATGGTATTTGTTGGTATGTTTTACAGCGGAACATTGCTTGGAGGAACAACAATGTTTGAACTGCTCAAGTACAACAACACACTGCAGTACAGAGTGTTTTCCTGGGTATTTCGGCCTTAAATGCATCTTGCCTTTCGGTGAGAACTGTAAACACAGTAAATGTAGTCAGACAACCATTGGTACCTATAGGTGCTCTGATGGTTGTGTAACTGGTTACCACGGCTCTCAGTGCAAAATTCCCTGCACAAGGCCGAAGGGAGACTGTACAAAATGCCCTCAAGGATGTGATGGAACGTTCTGCAATCTGACATCATCTTGTGTTTCTGGATGCCAAGACCAATACTATGGGTCCAAGTGCAAGACTTGTTCACCCAGATGTCAACATTGTAACAGGATAACAGGCAGATGTGATGAGTGTCATGATCCATATCATGGCCTGGACTGTGAATGCACATGTGAACATTCAACTGATTGTGTACAGACATGCGCACCTGGATTGTATGGAAGTTTGTGTTCCAAAAGATGCTTCAAAAACTGTCTAGTTTACCCTGCAAGCAATAACGCTTTGACAAGTAACAGCTCCTACCTGTGCCTTTCTGAATGTCAAAGAAATAGTGGCGAGTGTATCAACGGTTGTGTAGATGGCTGGTCTGGTCCAAACTGTTCCTCTCAGGTTCAGTGTAACTCAAACTGTTTGGGTTGTAATAAAACAGGTGCTTGTGTTGAAGGGTGCTCACGTGGTTACTTTGGTGAGGACTGCAAGCCTTGTTCTAAGACCTGTTACAATCACACATGTCACCCTGAGAGCGGGTCTTGTGTCAGTGGGTGTACCGGGGACAGTATGGACAATTCTGTAAACTCTCCTGTACAAACTGTCTGGATGGTGCCTGTGATGCTAGCACTGGAATATGTGATAAAGGTAAATATTTACTTGATGAATTAAGGAAGAGTTAGACATATCTATTCTGGGATTAATGTACATGACGTCATAAGACGTTATTTGTGGGGAAGCTCTTCTGTGCAAAATGTTGCCAGCTTCAAACTGTACTGATGAAAAACATGCAGGGAAATATAATGCAATTTGAATAATTAAAACAAACTATTTCATAATGGTAGACAGCAGACATACCGACTGTACTGTATGTTTGACGGCAAAAGGTTCCCATAACCATAGTCGGACGGGAATTCTGATAGTGATACCATTCTACACGTAATCCGTGTTTCACAAGAGCGGCCAAACACAGTAGTTTTAAGGGCAATGTCTTTGAAAAACTCGCATTTGATAACAAAAACAGGTAGATATGTAACAGTCGTTCAGAAGATTCATGTTATTGTTGTATATTTCGTGAATAAGTTATATCAATGCTTTGCTTTAGAGACCACCTGGAGCACTTTGACTGTGATATCAACAGGAATGTTTGCATCGTGTATACTTCTGATTGGTGCGATAGTGGGTGTCTTCCTTTTCCGTCGTTGCCGCAAAAGATCCTCAACAGAAAGGTTGGTGTTTTAATCTCTATTTTACAAGTAACTGTTAAGTATACTCAACACTTTTTGTCACGTCACTAATCGTTGAAAGTCGCTTTTAGGTTAATGTCATGTTTATGTACAACTAGTACAAAATTGTCAGGCGACTTCTGAGATGACTCTATCAGCCTATCAAGTCTATCGATATGATCAATTCCAAACAGTTTACGTACAAATATGTGGAAATTATCTGTCAATCTGATTCAGGTTGAAGTTATGACTTGTGGACTATCTCAGCGTTTTGCAATAGATGAAAGCGAAATATAAACGTAATTTTACACACCAACTTAACAGAATCAATGTAACTCAGAACTCAGGCTCACTAATCACAGGTACCGTGTAGAAGTAGACAGAGTTGGGACTTTGATATTAATGTTTCACACACGGACTGTATGTTTATATCATGGCCAAAGGAAGTTGAAACCTCATTGAAACAGCGACCATCGTTCAGAGTGACAGCTCAGTGTTGATAAATACATCAGAAACCTGTTTCGTTAGTCAGTTCATTTCACTGCTGATCAGGCAGCAAAGTCGTATCTCCGTGGAAGGTAAGTTTTTTATTTGAACAACACCAATCAACCACATGTTTATGTCACTCGCAACGTATTGTTAATTTAAATCACAATGAGGTTAGACATAATATAATCCCTCTTTTTATGTTCATTTCAGGACAGCGATGAACATTCACGTCATACTAAGCGTTGTGCTTACGTTGTTGTCGACACACGGTAATTTTTGTTGTTGACGTTATAAGCAGTAATATCATTCTTTACACAGTGTGTTTCGACTGAACAGCATTCATTGTTGTAGCAAAGATAGATGCTATTGGCGTGTGAAGTTACGTTTGGTTTGTCCCAGCCCCCGGTAATGTGTAAAAAAGTTGACTTTCGTGAGTGGGGCAACTGTTCTCAAGCGTTTACTGACACCAAACTAATGCAATGAATTTCGAACCGGCGTCATAGTTTGTTCCACTCTACAGTCAGTTAGAATAAGTATTTTCGTTGTTCGGATACTGAGGACCTATTATCAACCTTCATGTTTCATATGTCTTCTCATTTGTGTTTTGTATTTCTTGTTTTCTGAATAGTCATCATGCCATTGTAGTCTGGCAGGAACTGTACTGCCCTCTTCGTCTGTCTACTCTTTACTGTACTTACTGCTGAAATTAACATTATTTTTACCATTTTAATTGAGGGATTTTAAGATTCAATTACTGTAGTTACTTCTGTGATTGTAAATTATTATAATAACTCCATATCATTTCGAGAAGAAGATGTTCCTTAAAGGTGTTGCTAAAAAAACGAAAAGGTGAATATTTATACAATTTGTTTCTTTATCCTATGTCAGTACCAAATACTAAATGGTATTTGTTGTTATGTTTTGCAGCTGAACATTGCTTGGATGGCCAAAAATGTTCGAACTGCACAAGTACAACAACATACTGCACTTCAGAGTGCTTTCCTGGGTATTTCGGCCTCAAATGCATCCTGCCTTGTGGTAAGAACTGCAAACACAGTAAATGTAATCAGGCGCTGCGTGGTACTTATAATTGCTCAGGCGGTTGTGTACCTGGTTTCTATGGTACTCAATGCGACGCCGCGTGCACTCGTCCGGAGGAAAAGTGCACAAGATGTCCTCAAGAATGTGATGGAACGTTCTGCCATCTGGCATCATCTTGTGTTTCTGGATGTCATGACCAATACTATGGGACCAACTGCAAGGATTGTTCACCCAGATGTCGACATTGTAACAGGATAACAGGCAGATGTGATGTGTGTCATGATCCATATCATGGCCTGGATTGTGAATACTCATGTGAACATTCTTCAACAACTGATTGTATACAGACATGCGCACCTGGATTGTATGGAAGTACGTGTTCCAAAAGATGCAGCAAAAACTGTCTAGTTTACCCTGCAAGCAATACCACTTTGACAAGTAACAGTTCCACCTCGTGCATATCTGAATGTCAAAGATACAGTGGAGAGTGTATCAACGGTTGTGTAGATGGCTGGTCTGGCCCACACTGTTCCTCTCAGGTCAAGTGTAACTCAAACTGTTTGGGTTGTAATGAAACAGGTGCTTGTGTTGAAGGATGCTCACCTGGCTACTTTGGAGAAGACTGCAAGCCTTGTTCTAAGACCTGTTACAATAACACATGTCACCCAGAGAGTGGGTCTTGTGTCAGTGGGTGTATCCGGGGACAGTATGGACAATTCTGTAAACAGTCCTGTACTACCTGTCCTGGAGGTGTCTGTGATGCTAGTACTGGAATATGCGCTGAAGGTAAATGTTTAATTAGATGAGTTGAGAAAGAGTAAGACATATCTACTCCGGGATTAGTGTACTAGACGTCATAAGACGTCATTTGTGTGCAAACTGTACTGATAAGAACACCTCCTTTGTGTTGTTGAGAGCTAAGGGTCTTTAAATGTTGTCCACTGCAGTCTGTACTGATGACAGTTGTTTTACAGGATCAGGTCTTCTAAAATGTCGCATTTGATAATAGAAACATGCTCTTCATTAGTCAGAATCGTATACTGACTTTAATTTTATTAGCATTTCTTGCGTCTTCGAAAATATTTGTGTCGCCTTTTTTTGTATAGTGTGATCACATGGTGAAGTTTTTTAGAACCATACCATCTGTAATTTTGACTCAGTGATATTGACACGGGTTTTTTTTCACGGATAACTTATAATCAATTCCATACCATATTCGTCAGTAGGCCAAGTATTAATGATTTTGACTTCAACCACCCGCTATTACAGCTATACTATAATCCGTATGTTTCAGAGACCACTTGGAGCACCATGACTGTTGTATCAACAGGAATGTTCGCATCGTGTATACTTCTGATCTGTGCGATAGTTGGTGTCTTCCTTTTCCGCCGTTGCTGCCAAAGATCCTCAACAGAAAGGTTGGTGTTTTAATCTCTATTTTGCAAAAAAGTGTTAAGTATACTGAACATTATTTGTCACGTGACTAATCGTTGAAAGTTGCTGTTGTGTACAACTAGTACAAATAGAGTTAATTTGTCATGACGACTGCTGAGATGACTCTATCAGCCTATCAAGTCTATTGATATGATCAATTCCGACCAGTTTACTTTCAATATGTTGAAATTATCTCTCAATCTGATTTAGGTTGAAGTTATCACTTGTTGACTAACTGAGCATTTTGCAACAGATGAAAGCGAAACATGAACGCAATATTACACACTAACAGAATCAATGTAACTCAGGCTTACTGATCACAGGTAACGTGTAGAAGTGGACGGAGGTGGGACTTTGATATTATATAACTCTTGCGTACATTTCCAGGGACAATCAAGGAGATGAGTCGACACATACTGAGATATCAAGGCCAGTGGAAACATCAGAGTACTATGCAATGCATCGATACTGGAAAATAGACGATTACGACGAAGTATCTCACCCGCAAGATGAGCAACAAGAGCGGGCAGAGTCAGAAGATTATGATGGAGTATCGCAGCGGCATGGGCAGCACCCAGGACCGGCAGTGGAAGAAGATTACGATGACGTATCGCAGCAGTATGGGCAGCACCAAGGACCGGCAGTAGAGGAAGATTACGATGAGGTATCGCAGCAGTATGGGCAGCACCAAGGATCGGCAGTGGAGGAAGATTACAATGGAGTATCGCAGCGGCATGGGCAGCACCAAGGACCGGCAGTGGAGGAAGATTACGAGGAAGTGGCTCAGTCGCATGGTCAGCAGCAAAGACCTGTTTTCGCGGATTCTTTTTCTGGACCACCTGACGTCGAAGTCAACACTAATAGTGATCCCGCACTTCCTCTTGTGACGAACAACATTCCAGGGGCACTTAACACCAAAGACCATTGTGGTGATACATCAAGCAGCTCAGCAAGTGCTTCCCAGTCATACACTCCCTTAGTGAGGGACATTTTTATCGATGATCCAGAAACCGTTGTCAGATATATTTCACCAACTGTAGATAAAACCTAGAGTTTGACAGTAGAACACACCAACACAAAACTTGAAAGTACGATATGATGTACTTTTAAGTTTTGTGTTGGTGTGTTCTACTGTTTTTCTTCGTGACCTCACAAATTTCTAATTTGTTTTGAATGACTTCAACAAGATACTTTTTTTCAATTCAAGAAGTTCGTCATTAATATGATATCAGAAAAATGAATCAAATGGATAACAGGCTTTATTATTTGTAAAAAGCAAATTAATGTGACAATTGTGTGAACAGATCATTTAAAATCATTGACGACACCAAGGTGTTCGCGGAAAGGGTAAGCGTGATCTGCTATACCTGTATCCCTCACCACTACTTAATGGTTATCCGTGAGATAAGCCAAATGAGCTTGGTTCAATAGTAGAGGGATTTGGACTAAAGGAGGTAGACACCCTTTACTATCTGTGTCACATTTACTTTGTTGTTTTAGTTTCACGTTGCCGTCTGAAGCTATTTCCTTCATGTGTATATCGTCTTTGTTTACGTCAGTGATGTCTTTGTAGATGTAAATAGTTCTTGTTGACTTCATTTTTTATTATGACCATAGTCAAGCGATTTCCCGAACTAACTTTGAGGCCCAGAGATCACAGCTTAAGCATTGGATGCTTTCTTAAAAATATTTCTGGTATAAATTCGTGTGCACATTTGTCAAATAGTAAGGTTTCTGTTGCTCAAAATATATTTCCTATGTTTGTTCTGATCGATTCCGCTTATTTTCAGGTAGGATTTGTAAAATAACAAAGAAAAACAACTTCAAATTCACATTTGACCAAAGCATATGTCATGGAATGTCATTAAATGTCATAAGCTTGACTGCACACGTAAGGTCCAATGCAACTACATCCCCACAGAATAACCATTTCGCACTTTTATTAGCCACCATCAAACATGAGCATGTGAGAATGTTTGATGAATAAAAAAAAATAATCACTCCTGCAAACTCTGAACCATAGGACTAACACCATTTCAACTGAGTTAGTTTTTGTAATACGATAGCCACACACAAGTCTTTGTCTGTTTGCCTGTAATACCTGAAATATTCTTTGTTTCAAGATGCTCTAACAATAATATTGTGACTTCATTCTAATTTGTATATATTTTGTTCAAAGAGAAACGATTTCATAAGAGATGACTATTCACTTTTGAAATCAATTTGTTAACGTCGTATCAAGCTGTATGCTACTGCTATTGAGTATTATCAGAAAGCTGCTTTCTAAATAAAGACAGATTTAATAATGCTAAAAAGACTTAACTTTGTTTTCTACGTTCGATTGAACTGATTACTGTAAATGTATGTGAAAACGTACAGCAGCAATGAAATTGTACATGTCTCAAAGGATATATATCTGTCAATACATTTACAGTCTACATGATCACGGCTTCATTGAGTCCCACGAAGAAGGTACGGGTCCTTTTCTTTTTTCACTACATGGAATCCCTGGAACGATTAATGTCATCACCAACACACCCAAGATTGCCATGATGACATCGATGAGACGATGGATGGTGTCTGGCGGTAAATTCTGGGAATTGATAGAAAACAGAAAACTGTATCAACAGGAGATCGATTTTTCCTTGGGACATTTTCCCATTCTGTACATGCACATTGTGCTGAGATTCTTTAAAATTTGCAGAATTATTCCCAAGTTTTAAAAGCCTCAGCGGAAATGAGGAAACATACTGAAAACCAGTCTCCCATTGGCTATTCATCAGCAGTGTAGATGACCTCTGGCCATAAATCATAGGACTCTATCGACTATGTGTAAATGTGAAGAGCCTGTCGACGTGGGCTGTTGGAATATTGTTCCACATGAAAGGGAAGTTCACTATAGGAAAGTTGAAATCATCCCTTTTATACAATATTGGGGACAGTGAGTGAGTAAGTTTAGTTTTACACCGCACTCAGCAATATTCCAGCTATATGGCAGCGGTCTGTAAATAATCGAGTCTGGACCAGACAATCCAGTGATCAACAGCATGAGCATTGGGGAGAGATGTCACTCTGAATCTTTATGCAAGTGAAACAGTTGAGGCCGTCTCACGTTTAGATTGGTAAATCAGTGGAAGGGCTATTTGATGGTTATTGAACGGTTTTAGATCATCGATATACCTGAAGCTCAAGTTAAACTTCTTGGCCCAATTACCTTGTTTTCATTTTGCCAACCCAAGCAGAAATTCTGATTCATATGCATGAAGAAACAGACCCACAAGGAGGAGAGCACAGTTGGTGCCCATGTGGATGCCTACATCTTGTCGAAATGTTTTACCCCCAAATTGTACTCAGAAGTTATCAATTATAAAGTTTAGCGTTTTGCATATTGTTTGTACATATTTGCTTTGATTTTTGATAAGTTGTTCTGAACCTCTGAAGATGGGCATGTAAGTGTATCTGTGTTTATAAATGACCCATGGATCAAGGAATTAAGTTTTGTGTTAACCAAGTTTATTTATAAATGACCCTTGGATCTAGGAATAAAGTTTGTCCTTATGTTTGTCATATGGATCAGAGGTATACAAAGTTGAAAAATCACAATGTAGATTTAATATCCAGTACAAAGCAGGAATGTTTTATCTTCATGTTTTAGAGTCAATAGCACCGCTGAATGGTGTTGGCAGATTTCTTCAACAGTTAACATACTGACCTCATATGTGGCATTGTTTGATATGTCACGTATACCAACCTCTTTGATCAAACAATTACTGTAATACTGTTTACATACAATGGTTATTTGAGGCATTGTCAGTCGTTATAACTACAAAATGTTCACGCAGGGCAGCCAGACTTTGGATGGCAGCTGGCTGGGACTGAAGTAAAGGAAACACCAATAGACAATGAGAGTTATTTCCAAAAGTTATTTGGTCTGTAAGTAATAGACGACAGTAAGATGTAAAATGAAAATCCGAATTCATGCAGATTTTCTACTGCAGTAATACTCAATATTACAAGTATGGTGAAAATAAAAGTTGACCAATAATCTATCGAACTACCAACCAGATGTTTCTGTCATGTCCACTGAACGAAAGGAATCTGAAACCCTGCATACAGCTTACTGGGCTACACATAGCCATCATATGATTACAGTACACAAAACATTTTAAACATTTTCAATGGAATTAGTTTTTGGCAAATAATCAGGTGAGATATCTAGCGTTTGCATTATACAGTGCAATATGGAGTGTGGGATCTGTTAAAGCTTCAATGCGAAAACATGCCCGTGATATTAACATCATTACACCAACTTTGCATATAAAATTCATGTTTCACACACGGACGGTATGTTTCGATCATGCCCAAAGGAAGTCGAAACCTCATTGAAACAGCGACCATCGTTCAGAGTGACAGCTCAGTGCTGATAAATACATCAGAAACTTGTTTCGTTAGTCAGTTCATCTCACTGCTGATCAGACGGCAAAGGCGTATCTCCGTGGAAAGGTAAGTTTTATATTTGAACAACACCAATCAACCACATGTTTATGTCACTCGCAATTTATTGTCATTTCAAGTCATAATGAAGTTAGACATAATATAATCCCTGTTTTGTTTTTAATTCATTTCAGGACAACGATGGATCTTCACGTCATACTAAGCGTTGTACTTACGTTGTTGTCGATACAAGGTATTTATATAGTTTGCTTAAATTAAACAGTAATCTCATAAATTGAGTGTATTACACAGTGTGTTTCGACTGAACATCATTCACTGTTGTAGCAAAGATAGATGCTATTGGCGTGTGAAGTTACGTAACGTTTGCCCCAACCCCCGGTAACATGTAAAAAAGTTGACTTTCGTGAGTGGGGCAACTGTTCTCAAGTGTTTTCTGACACCAAACTGTCTGCAATCAGGATTTTCTAATGCATCGAATTTCAAACCGACGTCACACGACACACTACAGAATTAGTATTTTCGTTGTTCGGATACTGAGGACCTATTATCAACCTTCATGTTTCATATGTCTTCTCATTTGTGTTTGTATTTCTTGTTTACTCAATGCCATTGTTGTCTCGCAGGAACTGTACTGCCCTCTTCGTCTTTCCACTGTTATTTACTGATGCACTTGACATTATTTTTACCATTTTGTGAGGGATTTTATGATTCAATTACTGTAGTTACTTTCATGTTTGTAAATTATACATAATAACTCCATATCATTTCGAGAAGAAGATGTTCCTTAAAGGCGTTGCTAAAAAGATCAAAGGTGAATATTTATACAATTTGTTTCTTTATCCTATGTCAGTACCAAATACTAAATGGTATTTGTTGTTATGTTTTGCAGCTGAACATTGCTTGGATGGCCAAAAATGTTCGAACTGCTCAAGTACAACAAAATACTGCACTACAGAGTGCTTTCCTGGGTATTTCGGCCTCAAATGCATCCTGCCTTGTGGTGAGAACTGCAAACACAGTAAATGTAGTCAGGCGCTGCGTGGTACTTATAATTGCTCAGGCGGTTGTGTACCTGGTTTCTATGGTACTCAATGCGACGCCGCGTGCACTCGTCCGGAGGAAAGTGCACAAAATGTCCAGAAGAATGTGATGGAACGTTCCGCTATCTGACATCATCTTGTGTTTCTGGATGTCATGACCAATACTATGGGACCAACTGCAAGGATTGTTCACCCAGATGTCGACATTGTAACAGGATAACAGGCAGATGTGATGTGTGTCATGATCCTTATCATGGCCTGGACTGTGAATACTCATGTGAACATTGTATAACAACTGATTGTATACAGACATGCGCACCTGGATTGCATGGAAGTACGTGTTCCAAAAGATGCAGCCTAAACTGTCTAGTTTACCCTGCAAGCAACAACACTTTGACAAGTAACAGCTCCAACTCGTGTATTTCTGAATGTCAAAGATACAGTGGAGAGTGTATCAACGGTTGTGTAGATGGCTGGTCTGGTCCACACTGTTCCTCGCAGGTTCAGTGTAACTCAAACTGTTTGGGTTGTAATGAAACAGGTGTTTGTGTTGAAGGATGCTCACCTGGCTACTTTGGAGAAGACTGCAAGCCTTGTTCTAAGACCTGTTACAATCACACGTGTCACCCAGAGAGCGGGTCTTGTGTCAGTGGTTGTATCCGGGGACAGTATGGACAGTTCTGTCAACTATCCTGTACAGACTGTCCGGGAGGTGCCTGTGATGCTAGTACTGGGAAATGCGCTGAAGGTAAATGTTTACTATGATGAATTAAGAAAAGAGTTAGACATATCTACTCCGGGATTAATGTACTAGACGTCATAAGACGTCATTTGTGTGCAAACTGTACTGATAAGAACACTTCCTTTGTATTGTAAAGAGCGAAGGATATTTAAGGAAATGTAGAACCATGTGGTAGCCTAGTGGTTAAAGCTTTCACTCGTCACGTCAAAGCCTTTTGTTCGATTCTCATTTCTAATGTCCCCCGCCGTGATATTTCAGGAACATTGATCAAACCATACTAACTCATCTAAGGAAAGGTTTCGCAAATATATTTTCCCGCAAAGCTTAAGATTGGCATCCTACCATTTAGCTCATGAATGAGTGAGTTTAGGTTTACGCCACCCTCAGCACTTTTTCAGCTGTCGAGGAATCGAGGCTAGAAGAAACAATCCAGTGATCAACAGCATGGACATCGATCAACGCAACTGTGATAGGTTGACATGTGTCAACCAATTCAGCGAGCCTGACCACCCGATCCCGTTAATCGCCTCTTACGACAAGCATGGGTTACTGAAGATCAATATTCTATCTAGGCTCTTCACTGGCCTGTAGCACATGACAATAGAAACATTTGTTCCCTGAGTTGCTGGCGGCTTTGTGCCCATGTTTTAAGAAATATAACTAATGTTTGAAATATGAATTTTATTTATGATGAAATGTTGTTTACGGAATCGCTCTATGTCTGAGATAATGCCGATGCTGTTTTTAATGTTTAGCTCACTAACTCGTTGACATCAGCCATACCGTCATCTGCTTGACATTGTCAATGATTTTGGTATGATAAGGCATTGGTCAACGAATGATTATGTTCATGTAGTTATTTTCGAAAGCACAACATTTACCTCACATTATGCCAAGCACAGTTCCCTTTTTGCATTACTTTTCTTAAAAGCAATATGTTTATTTTTTCGTATATTTCGTATTGTCTCATTTCGCGAGCACCGGGTTTCGAGTTTCAGTAATTCATTCATGTATAATTTCCTCCACTATTTTGTTTGTTGCGCCCAAATGAATGTCACCCAGTGTGTCGTGCCTGATTCATCTCTCACGCTGATGTCTTATATTTCTTTGTACTGGGTCATTGTTTCTGCTGATGTGCTCTTTTAGATACCACTTAACAAGAAAGTGGTTTTTTCCTGAAACATTAAAGCTTTCCCCCACCGTCTTGCAAAACGAAAGTAATTCTGAAACATTTTTGGATGATACATAAAAGCCGCAGAATCCTTCACTTGCATAGAACAGAATTATATAATGTTATGTTGTTTGGCGTTTTTAGGTTTTCATGGAATGGCTTGTAACAATATGTCATTGTTGACATTTGTTTTGTTTTAATCCTCTTTCTTTTTAGACCAGAATGCCATAGGCGGTGCTACAATTGGAACGTCAACTGCGTTGGTGCTTTTGGTCTTTGGAATCATTGTAACAGTTGGATATTTTCACTGCAAAAGAGTCGTAGCAAACAGGTTTGCATATCATGTGTATCCAGTCAAGCACAATATCATCTTACATACAATTGATCTAGATTATATTTAACATATATCATTTCCAACATACGAAATCGACGTATAGTGTTAGCCATTCCGAGCTCTGAAATACTTTTGAATATAAAGTATAACCTGTTATCTCGAACAACCATATCTAGAATGTACTGACGTCACGAGCCTACGCTCCGGCCCCGAAGGATATACCAAAGGGACTGTTTTTGTCGTATTCGGGATACACAGTGCTTTCTGAAAAGTTGGACATGGTCCAAACTTCGACCTAACTGAAGAACTATGTATGTACCTCCATCTCGAAGTGGCATTTTCTACATTATTAGTTTTGAGGAGCACAAATATATTTAGTATCTGCCCCCAAACATTTGACATTGTTGTGCAAGTACTGTCGGATTTCACGAATGCTGCAACGCATCATTGAATCCAGTTTGCCACAGTTGTTGTAAAGTAGTGCCGGTAATAACATTCTATTTTGCCATCGCATACAGGTGTTGTGCTATGCATTAGGACGTTGATGCCTCGTTACGTGTATTTTAAGTCCTGATCTCTCGAAGGTACAACGCTATCCTTCAAGGTTCGAGATGTTGTTTTTACTGCAATGAACTTCAAAGCTTGTGTGAAGTTCAAGATGTTATGAATTCAGGGCACATTTTAGGGGTGTTATGGTAAGTTTTCATGTGTATCTGTTTTAGAGAAGAAACAGGGCTGTTATTGTTTTTTTATTTTTGCTTGTTTGTTTACAAGGTTGTGTTATAAGAATATAAGGGAATTGCTGTTGTATGTTGTTGAACTGAGGTTGTCCCATTAATATGTTTCAGAGAAGAAACAGCCCAGTTGCCGGCCATGCATCCACAGTGTGGTACAAACAGACGGGGCAACTCATCTTCGAGGTTCCGACAGTCGGAACACATCTACAGTGAAGTCAAGGAAGACGAGATGGGATCAGTCATAGTTTTTCTCTAAATTTATTGACATAGCAAACATCAAACACAGCGTTATATCTGAGTCAAATACTCATACTTGTAATCCTTTTCAGCTTTCAGTCATATGACTCAAACAGAACGTTAGGGAATAGTTCTTGTAACATTTCTATTGAATGTTTAACAAACACAGGTAAATTATTATTGAGTCTTCTTCCTTTTAATATGTGTTTGTCTTTGTGCGGAAAGAGAGAGACAAGGGAAAGTGAAAGGGTGCAGAACAGATAAACTCACTATGCTAATCTGAAATTTAGTCGTCTTGGAAAAGGCATAACCATTTTGTTTAAAATCAGAGTAGTCGACATTCAAATCCGCGGAGGTATATCTTACTTTATTGATATATTCCTCGGTAATAATGAAAATAATTAACTACTACATTTGCTTCATGTAGAAACTTAGTAATATCGATACGGAGGCAAGCCCCAGCCTTTAATTGTACCCAGTCTTGTAAACTGAGAAATTAGATGTTTAGTTTCTCGCACAGAAAGAATAAGTGCTCAAGAGTTTCTATTTCTGTGTCACATAAAGCACAGAGATTATCGTGGTTAATACCTATTTTACATAGAAATTACTTTGTTAAAACTATTCTGTGCATCAATTTAAAGTGGAAGTTCCTTGCCTTTACCACCGACATAAACTTAAAAAGGATATAAAACATATATGGGTGAAGGAGGTAATTATTATTATTATTATTATTCAAACCTATGTACACTATTCAGTTGATGAGGTCTTCGGCCACTACTGTATACCAAGTATTCAGTGGAATTATGATTATTTCTATGACAAAGCTGGATGCTTGGTGTGGTGATAGTATCATGAAGCATGTTGAATACAAAATATGGAGGAACCAGAGAATGCCCCATTTCACCTCATTGTCTTGGTCAGAGGTTGGGTGCTGTTACAAACCAAGGGGTGGGTATATTTACTTGTATAACGTGAAATGGGGAAATGACTACAGGTATGAAACAAGTAAAGTGGGGATCAAGATATATCCAACAGGTTTACCCTTTATCAAGCACCTACTTGGTCAGCAATAATTTTAGTATTGTCGCCACTCTGATCACTGGGGAACGTCTCTAATCAGGAATCCAAACAGTAATTGGTTTATTAAACAGGCATTGCACCTGGCCAATACTGTAAACAGTGCAAGTTTGTAGTGAGTATTGTTACAAGATTCGTTTGGTTTTCGATCACCAGTTATTTATCTCACTGTCGAAGCGTTTCGGTGAAGCAAGTGAACCACATGAACTTTATCTGGTCCTAGATATGTTACAGTCAGATTGTGAAATCAGTCATTTCGTGAAATGACTGAAATATATTGATTGTTGTTACACAAAATGACGCGAAATGTCTGGCCCTCTTAGTCATTTTACGAAATGACTGATTTCACAATCTGATTGTAAAAGATATACATCTATGGGGCAGAGACTAAGTAACTTTCAATGTACTATTGTGTATCATGAAAACAAACTAGTGATCGAAAACTGAACCAACACGAATGCAATCAACGTCATTTGTTTTACTGGCGCCATGCGTCGTCATATCCGACACCAACGTAGTTAGATCAAGATCTTGAATAATCAACAAATAATGATCAACTCAGTCACAATATACGGTGATATACTTGAATACTGACCGGTCAGTGCCAGTCATAGATAATACCCCGCTATAGCGTGCGACACTTGTTATGTTAAATTAGAAAGGAAATATTTACCCGATAAGAACATGATGAATTGAGAAAATTTTAAAATTACTACTTCAATTAATTTTTTGAAAGCACCTGTTCTGGTCAGATCGATCGCCCTGTTCCAGTTGCGGAACTGTGGCATTTATTTACATTCATAGTAACAATTATTGATTGATGGTCATGCAAGCGTTTCACGATTCGGTTGGTTCTTTTTATTTTGGTATAAAAGGTTACTAAATTACACTTTCTTAATGTCTCACATGTTCTCCACACATTGCATTATGGGTTGTTTTGCGGTCTAATAGAACCACACAAACATAATGATGAAAGATTTCAAACGTTTGGCCTTTCTTGGTACTTTGATATCGGCTAAGGTTGGCTTTTGTGACTGAATTTGAGCAATTAAATATTATGATTATAGATGTCAGCAGAGTATACATGGCGAAGGAAAGCACTTTCATGAAAGCCATGAGAGTAACGGCCTTTGGCATCTATATGACGTCACTCACCCAACGGCATACGGTATAGGCATACCCCAACCATCATGTTCCTGGTGAAAACATGAGCAACCTTAAGTTTAAAGTTGATGTCTCTATTTGTAACTAAGTAGGTTTTACGACATAAGCAGGACAGTGTGACGTGTTCTTTGACATGACACCTTTCAAATTTGACAGTTCTTGTTGTTGGTTACTTTTATTGTCCAACCGTACATATACTCTTAAAGCTTAACTTAGCGTATACATCGGATGAGCAAGTGGGGTTTTGTCCTACGATATATCAAGAAGAAGGCAACTGTACAACACTAATATCTAATAAACAGCGAGGCTTCTCGTATTCCGTTTTTCTTATCAATCGTGATTTTGAGGCCAATGAAATTTGTACATGCTGGGCAAAGGACTGGGTGAACTTGTGAAAGGTTCGTGTCGTAGGTCCTGCACATTCCATACCTGGTCAACAGGAAACCTCTCCGTGGTCTATTTTTGCCATAGGTACAATAAATATGGATGTATATATTAGTGGATGTGGACTCGTGTATTGCGTTGATATATAGGTATGTATTGTATTATTAAGTTGTGAATTAATGTTGCAAAAATGATATTTTACGAAGTTCCCAATCCAAACATTTATCACATTGTTTCGAAACGTAGTGCGTCAGCTTGGGAACCTTATTAAGTGAGGGAGTGAGTGAGTTTAGTTTTACGCCACACTCGGCAATATTCCAGTTATATGGCAGCGGTCTGTAAATAATCGAGTCTGGACCAGACAATCCAGTGATCAACCACATGTGCATCGATCTATACAATTGGGAACCGATGACATACGTCAATCAAGTCAGCGAGCCTGACCACCCGATCCCGTACAGTCGCCTTTTGTGGCAAGCATGGGTTGCTGAAGACCTATTCTACCCCGGATCTTCACGGGCAACCTTATCAAGAAAACTTGCTGCCCCTAATGACACACGCAGTTACAATGTTAACGCCACACCAGGGGCTATTGTTTGACAGCGGTGAAATCAATTTACACCGAAACCTCTCATCTTGATAGAAGTTATAGTCCCAAAAAGAATATTTGCCTTTGTTGTCAATGTGGATCGTGTGTTCGTGCCTTTTAACCTTACTGAGATCATAGGATCGTATCCCTACAGCATGATGCGAATGTAAATGTACATATATATGAGCTACACCAGCACGCACCCATTAAGACGCTATTTGTAGTGTAAACCACACTTTTCAAAGTCATCGTGTAAAAGGCTGACAGTTTACTTGGGTGCGTATCACAATCAGGAACTGGCAATAGTGGATACATACATCCTCACACCTATACACTTATACAATCCAATAGTTAACATCCACTCACACATCAGTCCACTCAAACAAAAATACATCCATCCACACATCCATACACCTACACAATCAAATAGTCAACATCCACTCACACATCCGTCCAACCCAGCACAAATACATACATCCTCAAATCTATACACCTATACAATACAAGAGTCAACATCCACTCACACATCAGTCCACCCCATCACAAACACATCCATCCACACATCCATACACCTATACCATCCAATAGTTCACATCCACTAACAAATCTGTCCACTCCAGCACAAATACATCCATCCACACACCCATGCACCTATACAATCAAATAGTTAACATCCACTAACACATCTGTCCACCCCATCACAAATACATCCATCCACACACCCATACACCCATTCAATAGACTAGTCCACATCCACCCAAACATCCTTCCACCCCAGCTCAAATAGCTCTTTCCTCACACCTATACACCTATACAATCCAATAGTAAACATTCACTCACAAATCCGTCCACTCAAACACAAATACATCTATCCACACATCCATACAACTATACAATCCACTAGTCCACATCCACTCACACATCCATACACCCCAGCACAAATACATCCATCCACACACCCATATACCTGTACAATCCAAAGTGTTTAACATCCACTCACACATCAGTTCACCCGAGCACAAATACATCATTCCACACACCCATGCACCTATACCATCCAATAGTTAACATCCACTCACACATCAGTCCTCCCCAGCACAAATACATACATCCTCACACCTATACACCTATACAATCCAAAGGTCAACATCCACTCACACATCCGTCCACTCAAACACAAATACGTCCATCCACCCATCCATACCCCTACACAATCAAACAGTCTACATCCACTTACACATCCGTCCACCAAAGCACAAATACATCCATCCTCACACCCATACACCTACACAATCCAATAGTCAACATCCACTCGCACATCCGTCCATCCCATCATAAATACATCCATCCACACATCCATCCACCTATACAATCCACAAGTTTAACATCCACTCACACATTAGTCCATCCCAGCACAAATGCATCCATTCACACATTCATACATCTAAGCAATCCGATAGTCAACATCCACTCACATATCCCTCCACCCCAGCATAAATACATCCATGCACACACCTATACACCTATACATTCCAAAAGTCAACATCCACTAACACATCAGTCCACACCAGCACAAATACATCCATCCACACACCTATACATCGATATCACCCAATAGTTAACATCCACTAACACGATCTGTTTGATTGGCATTTAAAAGTTGGTGACTAATAAGAAAGTAAGAAAGTTTATGGATAACAACTTCTTTATTATATATGATGCGACGTTTCGGTATGGATTCTTATACCGTTGTCAAGCAAGAGTCCACTCCAGCACAGACACATTCATCCACACATCCATACACCTTAGCAATCCAATAGTCAAAATCCACTCTCACATCCATACACTCCAGCACAATTACATCCATCCTCACACCTATACACCTACACAATCCAAAAGTCAACATTCACTCACACATTCGTCCACCCCTGCACAAAATACATCAATCCACACATCCATACACCTGTACCATCGAATAGTCAATATCCACTCACACATCAGTCCACTTCAGCACAAACACAGCCATCCACACTTCCATACACCCATACGATCCAATAGTCTACATCAACTCAGACATCAGTCTACCCCAGCACAGATACATCAATCCACACATCCATACACCTATACAATCCAATAGTTAACACCCACTGACACATCCGTCCACCTCAGCTCAAATACATTCATCCTAACACCCATACAATCCAACAGTCCACATCCACTCCCACACCCGTCCACTCCAGCACAGAAACTTCCATCCACACATCCACACAAATAGACAATCCAATAGTCAACATCCACTCACATCTGCCTACTCCAGCACAATCCATCCACACACCTATACAACCATTCAATAAACCAGTCGACATCCACTCTCACTTCCGTCAACCCCAGCTCAAATACATCCATCCTCACACCCATACATCTATACAATCCACTAGCCAACATCCACTCACCCATCCGTCCACTCAAGCACAAATACATGAATCCACACGTACATACCTATACAATCCAATAGTCAACATCCACTCACACATCCGTCCACTCCAGCACAAATACATCCATCCACACACCTATACAATCCAATAGTCAACATCCACTAACACATCAGTCCACTCCAGCACAAATACATGCATCCACACATCCATTCACCCATGCAATCGAATAGTCCACATCCACCCACACATCCGTCCACCTCTGCACAAATTCATCCATCCACACATCAATATACCCAGATAATCCAATAGTCAACATCCACTCACACATCAATCCACTCGAGCACAGATACACCCATCCACACTTCCATACACCTATACAATCCAATAGTCAAAATCCACTCACACATTCATACACTTCAGCACAATTACATCCATCCACACACCCATACACCTATACAATCTAAAAGTCAACATCCACTCACACATCCGCTTACTCCAGCACAATCCATCCACACACCTATGCACCCATTCAATACACTAGTCCACGTGCACTCACACATTCGTCCACTCCAGTACAAACACAACAATCCTCACATCCATACACCTTTACCATCCACTAGTCAACATCCACCCACACATCCGTCCACTCCAGCACAAATACATGCATCCACACATACATACCTACACAATCCAATAGTCAACATCCACACGCACATCCGTCCACCCCTGCACAAATATATCCATCCACACACCTAAACACCTATACAATCCAATAGTCAACATCCACTCTCACATCCGTCCACCCCAGCACAAATACATCCATCCTCACACCCATACACCTACACAATCCACTAGTCAACATCCACTCACACATCAGTCCCCCCCAGCACAAATCCATCCATCCACAAACCTATACAACGATACAATCCAAAAGTCAACATCTTATCACACATCCGTTCAGCCCAGCACAAATACATCCATTCACACATGCATACACCTATACAATCCTATAGTCAACATCCACTAACAGATCCGTCCACCCCAGCACAAATACATCCATCCTCACACCTCTACATCGATACAATCCAATTGTCAACATTCACTCACACATCCGTCCACCCGACCACAAATACATCATTCCACACATCCATACACCTTTACAATCCAATAGTCATCATCCACTCACACATCAGTCCACTCCAGCACAAACACAGCCATCCACACATCCATACACCTATACAATCCAATAGTCTACAACAACTCACACATTCGTCCACCCCAGCATAGATACATCCATCGTCTCACCTATACACCTATACAATCCACTACTCAACATCAACTCACACATCAACTCACACATCCTCATACCCATACACCTACACAATCCACTAATCAACATCCACTCGCACATCAGCCTATCCCAGCACAAATACATCCATCCACCTATACAATCCAATAGTCCATATCCACTCACACTTCCGTACACCCAAGCACAAAAACATCCATCCAAACACCGATACACCGATACAATCCAATGGTCAACATCCACTCACATATCCCTCCACCCCAGCATAAATACATCCATTCACACACCTATACATTCCAAAGGTCAACATCCACTAACACATCAGTCTACACCAGCACAAATACATCCATCCACACAATAGTTAACATCCACTAACACGATCTGTTTGATTGGCATTTAGAAGTTTGTGAGTAATAAGAAAGTAAGAAAGTTTATGGATAACATCTTCTTTTTTATATATGATGCGACGTTTCGGTATGGATTCGTATACCGTTGTCAAGCAAGAGTCCACTCCAGCACAGGCACATTCATCCATACATCCATACACCTTAGCAATCCAATAGTCCAAATCAACTCACACATATGTCTACTCCAGAACAATCCATCCTCACACCTATACACCCATTCAATGCACTAGTCCACATCCACTCTCACATCCGTACACCCCAGCACAGATGCATCTATCCACACACCTATACACCTATACAGTCCACTAGTCAACATCAACTCACACATCAGTCCACTCTATCACAACTACATCCATTCACACTTCCATACACCTATACAATCCAATAGTCAACATCCACACACCCATACACCTGTACAATCCAATAGTCAATATCCACTCACACATCCGTGAATAGTCAACCACTAGTACAATCCACTAGTCCACATCCACTCACACATCCGTCCAACCCAGCACAAATACATTCATCCACACATCCAAACACCTATCCAATCCAATAGTCAACATCCACACACACATCCGTCCACCTCAGCACAAATAGATCCATTCACACATCCATACACCTTTACAATCCAATAGTCAACATCCACTCACACATCAGTCCACCCAAGTACAAATACATACATCCTGACACCCATACACCTACACAATCCACTAGTCAACATCCACACACCCATACACCTGTACAATCCAATAGTCAATATCCACTCACACATCAGTCCACTTCATCACAAAGACATCCATTCACACATCCATACACCTATAAAATCCAATAGTCAACATCCACTCACAAATCCGTCCACCCCAGCACAAATACATCCACCCACACATCCGTACACCTGTACAATCCAATAGTCAACTTCCACTCACACATCCGTCCACTCCTTGACAAGTACATCCACCCACACACCCATATACCCATACAATCCAGTAGTCCATATCCACTCACACATCCGTGCACCCGAGCACAGATACAGTCATCAACACATCCATACGCCTATACAATCCAAAATTCAACATCCACTCACAAATCCGCCTACTCCAGCACAATCCATGCACACACCTATACACCCATTCAATAGACTAGTCCACATCCACTCACACATCCGTTCAACTCAGCACAAATACATCCATCCACACATCCATATACCTATACATTTCAATAGTTAACACACACTCACCCATCAGTCCACTCCAGCTTAAATACAGCCATCCAAACGTCCATACACCTATACAATCCAATAGTCAACATCCACTCACACATCCGTACACCCGAGCACAGATACACCCATCAACACATCCATACGCCTATACAATCCAATAGTCAACATCCACTCACACATCCGCCTACTCCAGCACAGTCCATGAATACACCTATACACTATTCAACAGACTAGTCCACATCCACTCACACATCCGTCCAACCCAACACAAATACATCCATCCACACATCCATACACCTATACAATCCAACAGTCAACATCCACACACACATCAGTCCAACCCAGCACAAATACATACATCCTCACACATATACACCTATTGAATCCAATAGTCAACATCCACTCACACATCCATACACCTATACAATCCAATAGTCACCATCCACTCACACATCCGTCCACTCCTTCACAAATACATCCATCCACATACCTATACACATATACAATTCAATAGTAAACATCCACCCTCACATCCGTCCATTCCAGCACAAATACGTCCATCCACACATCCATACACCTATACAATCCACTAGTCCACATCCATTCTCACATCCGTCCACCCTATCACAAATACACTCATCCACACACCCATACACCTATACAATCCAATAGTCAACATCCACTCACACATCAACCCATCCTCCATTTAACCAAACATTATGATTTACAAGAGCCAAAGTGAAGTAATAAAGACAGTGAAGGCAGTTACTGAACTGCGTTGTATTGACCCTTTTTCCTCATTGTTATACATGTGAGTATAGAAATGTTTTGGTGCACAACGATCGCCCGTCAGTCGCAGGGCAGGTCACATTCAAATAAGTAGCACGCATTCACTTGTATCGGGTGTGCAGACATGTAAGAGGGGACTGTGAATGGAGAGGCACGAGTCGTTTGACGGCTGTGACTGTCATCATTCGGAATGTTACTGCACATGAAACACTACTCATCTGAAACAACGTTTACATATGAAGAGAAGCTTTGGTAAGCAACCATTCAGCACTTTTACTCGTATAAGAGATTGCAATAACGTTCTTATTTGACTTATCTCAGTTGCGTTCAGCGCTTCCTACATTAAACAGCAGACACATTCCAGACCAGGTAGGCCGGCTTACATTGAACAATTGTAATGCTTTTGTGCTCAAGCTGATGTCAGTAGGTAATATTATACTTTGTGGGAAACGATTACCTCCTGTAACGTAACATATGTGGTATCACCATTATTCTATAATGGTTCAAGGATATGGGCTTTGGGTTGAGTTCGGGTTACACTATGAACGGCGGACGTATATATGTATATATATTACAGTATTTCTTTTGTGAATTTTACTGAATTGTATCAATGCGCGCATTTCATTGTGAGGACTATTCAGATTTCATGTAGCACCAGAAGGCGTTGATCGTTTCGAACTTCAAGCATGTCATCTTCGAATATCATGAAGCCTGATTTTACTTGATCTTTTTGTATTGAGCTTACAGCTTCAATGGAGTCATATGCTTGTGTGATTATTCACATGACGGTCACTATTGTTGAGTACATTATCATCAGTATGGGATATTTCACAGAAATGTTTATATACCTAATGATTCAGAAAAGAAATGATATATGATAAGTCAATTCAAATTTAATTCATATGCGAAATAAACGAACTTACACACATTTAACTCCACAACGTCTTTTATTTCACCTCGAAATGAAAACATATTCATGAAGCTTGAACATGTTATTTGTTTGATCTATATTTCTATGGAAGCCAAGTGTAAACACTGTTGTTTATGTGAAATGCAGCATTTTGATACGACCTTCTTACACATGCATGAAGCAAGTCACCAAATCCGTCAACCCAATTTCATCAGTTGATGATTTAAGAACCATAATTACCCTTTACAACAAGCAGAGGTTGCAAAAACATAATTCAAACGGAATCTTGAATTGAGTAATTATAAACTATTGAGATGTCAAAAATAATGACTTGTCTTCTCAGCCATTCCTTTCATCAATTTACCAATGATGACCACAGTGTATTTACAGGTGACCAGCAGAGGAAACGTTCAGTACAACAACATGTGGATGATTGGCATAGTTGTGTGTCTATACAGTAAGTACCCTTGAAACAGATATGTCGCCTATTACGACAAATTTTGAGGTTTCTTGAGAACATTTCTGAAAGTAATAGATGATAATGTAATAATAAAACATTAGAACGCATTCCACTTCAAATCACATGTTCAAAGTCATTCGGACAACCAACATATCATGAGCAACCTGTATTTTCTAAACAGAACAGTAGTAGTATTATCTGCACAATGACAGAGCAAAACTTGAAATAACATTTTATATATTTCAGGCTTCACTGTAAATGGTAATGAGGAATGTATTCCAGGAACATTTGGGGCTGATTGCAATCAAATCTGTTCTCAAAACTGTTATATTCCTCCAAATACCGAATTGCACTGCGACATAGAAGACGGGACCTGTCATGAAGGATGCAATGTTGGTTTCTATGGAGATCGGTGTGACCAACGTTGTAGCAAGAATTGCAAAGAACTCATCTGTTACCAGATCAACGGGCACTGCAGTGAAGGTTGTATAGACAATCACATCGGGGACTTTTGTGAGATCGCCCAAGGTAATACGATGATTGGTCACTCGATAAAATACAGCTTTATACATACTTAAACGATAGTAAAGGTGAAACGTTTTGCAATCCTTTGGGTATATTGCATAATGTTATAACGCAAAATGCTGGTCAAAAAGGTAAGCATAATCAGAAGTGATGTGATTATAAATGAATTGCGATGACCTAAATACAATGTTTATGATATAAATAACATGTGTGGATAACATTAATGGTAGTCTCTCATGGCCTCCTTTCTTCATAATAAAACCTTTAGTGCGCTACAATTACACTTGCGTTCATCAACGCGTTTATCAATAAGCAGATCCGACCATACAGTGGTTGATATCCAAGTCAGTTGGGGCTTAGTGAGATAATGTTGATGATGTTGTTTTTACCATTTGCCAAAGACGTGGGCTAGGCAACGTTCACAATCAACTTGTTATATTGCGTTAAAATGTCTTCTTCTTTTTATGACAGATCCACCTCCAGTCTTAACAGGTAAACAAAATCATTTGTAGAAAAAAGAAACCAGACACAACAAACATAAATCACAATCCTCTGAGTATCATGTCTATGCTCTTATTGAACATGATGTAAAGATACATCTTTATATTACATAGTTGCTTGTGTATGGTACACCTTCAGGTTGTCTACATTTTGTCCCACTACTGCAGGTACAACCAATGATGTTCCTACAACAGTAACTACAACTGTAATACCGCCACGTAGAACCAGCTCTGAAACTGTCGCTATCACAGTCATCATTCCTGTTGTTGTCGTGGTACTTGTCCTGGTGGTCACTGTCTGCATCATCTTAACACGGTAGGTTGTTCCATCAATCAGATGTCTTCTTGAGTTTGAAACACTCTTCTAGCGAAACCTACCTACTAAATATGAATTCACATTCAGATGTGGTCAAGGCAGCTTATCTAGGAGAATGTTATCGTTGGTTGTTGGCGACAGGACCTCCAGGAACATGGCTTGCCACAGTTGATGACAAGAATGTACACGTTGAGCATTCAGTGCAGTGCATCTGATCAAATGAATAGAAGAGTTCATTGCACCGTCGACATTCCAATTAACATATTCACGGGGACATGCTGTAACTGTGTGGTCAGCCCACGCTAACATATAGGTACACTATATATAGTTGCAGTGAAAGTTGCTAGCTCTACTGATTCAGAGCTGATAACATATTATTGCTGTAAGGTAAGGCTGTTAAGGTTGGTGAATGTGTTTGTTTAGTGTAGTTTGATTGTCAATATCCATGTCATATATTTGAATGTCAAGGCGATGGAAAAGAGAAGAATGCTCTGTCTCATTATGAGTGAATCTTTCACATTGTTTACCTTTCCTCTTTCAGGTGTAGAAAGAGGAAAACCCACAGAAAGAGTAAGTAGTATATTTCATCATCCTTCAATGAAAGTTTAAATACTTGTCACGATCATTATGGCAATTGTGCGCTGGAGTCCTTTATTCTATCATCACAGAAATATGTAGGAATGCCTTCTTGACTCCGTAAAACGACTGCCCTGAGAAGATATAATGTGGTCTCATCTATTTGTCCCTTACAGTCTCCCTTATACTCTCACAGCGTTGTATCTTGTTATTTATATCATTACTTTGTTTGTCATATATTAGCAGGCTGATATAACATATATATCCGGCATCAAGTTGTTATCAGTCACTTGCCGTCTTAATGTCGCTGCTTTTTCAAGTTATGTATTACAAGCAAGGAATATTGACAGACACAAGAAAATTGATCAACGGCATTATTCTGAACTTATTTCATCTGTTTCGTTTGATGTTTTCAGGTGATCCTGAGGTTGGGCAGGAATTACTCCAAGGTATGACAAATGGCGATATCCCAATGTTACATTTGGGATTACACTTTCTCAATAAAGTAGTAACAGATACTTACTGATACTTCAAAAAATAAGAAGTGTTACATTTGACCCCTTTCTAAACGGCATTGTTTATTCATAACTGAGTGAGTGACATTCCACAAAGACCACTACCGTTATCATCACTGTCACACCGATTTCAAAGCTGTGTTGATCATTACAAATATCATATTTGTACAAACTATCAATGATCATCCGTCTCAACAACGTTATTGTTCCAGTGGCTGTTCCAAGCACGATTGCATCCTCAAAAATATACAAAAGTACACCAGTATGATAGATTCCGTTAGATTAGATGATCTTTGATCTATGATCAGATGCGTTATTCCACGTAACTAAATGAACATTTTTCAGACATTAAATCGAGGGACAGTCGCCGAGACGACACCGCTTTGCATGATGCGTGCAGAAGAGGGACCCTTGCCGAAGTCAGACAAATGATATCTGAAGATCCGGTAAACATAAACAGCAGAGGAAAGTGTGGGTGGACACCAGTCATGATAGCAGCTGATGGGGGACGCCAAGAGCTAGTTGACCTCCTTGTGCGACAAAGGTGTGACCTGTCACTGACAGATGATGACGGTAACACTATCCTTCACGTGGCTTCTATCAAAGGACATTGGAAGACAGTGAGATATATCCTCTCAAAGAAAACAGTTGATGTAAACATTACAGGACACTGTAACAGGACAGCAGTGATGGCGGCAGCAAGGTTTGGACATCGGAAAGTGTTTGACTTACTTGTGAAGAACGGAAGTGATCTTTCAACTGTTGATTCAGATGAAAACAACATCCTTCACATCGCCTGTATTGGAGGACACGTGGAAATCGTGAAATATATCCTTAAGAATGGCTTTGGTGATATTAACAGCAGAGGGCATAACAGGAGGACTCCAGTGATGCTTGCAGCAAACTCTGGACATATCCAAGTTTTTGAACTCCTCGTCGGAAAGGAATGTCTTTTGAGAACTAAAGATAGAAACGGTACGGGTATCCTTCACTTTGCCTGTGTAGGAAATAATGTTGAAATTGTTGATGGTATCCTCAAGAGAAACATTGTTTCTATTGACAGTAAAGACGGCGATGGAAAGACACCAGTCATGCTTGCAGCAGAGTTTGGACATACAGACATGTTTACGTTTCTTGTAGATAACCAGTGTGACACACAAGTAGTCTGTGAAAAAGGAAACAACGTCCTCCATACAAGTTGTGCTCTGGGCCATGTCGACATAGTAAAGTGTATTCTGACACAGGGTCCTGTTAATGTTGACAGTTGTGGACAAAACCAGATGACACCTGTAATGCTTGCAGCAAAGAATGGACACAGAGATATATTTGACTTACTTTTGAATAACGGATGTGACACGTCCCAGTTAGACAAAGACGGAAACACCGTCCTTCACATGGCCTGTTACGGGGGAAGCAAATACATCGTTGAAGATATCCTTTCAAAGGAACTTGTTGGCATCAATAGTAGAGGACAGTCTCAGAGGACACCAGCAATGGTGGCAGCCGCATGTGGAAACCAGGAAGTGTTTGACCTACTCTTCAACAGAGGGGCAGACCTGACACTAGCTGACTGTGATGATTTCGGGATCCTTCACCTGATCGCCATGGGTGGACACTTACAGATGATGGAACATGTTAAAAACATTATAGACTGTCGCTGATACTGGACATGGTTACAGACATTTACTTGTAGCAGCGGCTTGGACAATTTGTGAACCTTTCAAATGAGTTTCAGATAAGTACACACATAACGTACCAGTTAGTTATAGTGTACTCCACAGATTTAACACTTACAACTTCAACATTAGAAAGTTAGTGACAGTGCACATTGTAGTTGCATTGCGAGACATACAACTAACTATTCTGTTTCGTTTGTGCTCTGACACTACTTGTTAAAAAAGTTCTCAAACATACACAGTCTGGAGAAAATACGTCCATATCTACGTCCTGCATCAGCTTTGTATCTCCTCCACGTTACACCGACAGTATGTGATTATTACACATAAACAGGAGAAAGCAATGTTCATAATTCTTAATATAAAACGTCCTGGTCCGTTAGTTGAGAAAGAGAGAGTAGAGGAGTGGAGCAATTAAACATCACGCGCTTTTTCATTTGAGAAATATCAACACAGTCTTAGTTATTCGGTATTCTTTGGTTCAGTTTCCCTTCCTTTCACTGCCTCTCGTGAACTCCAAGGATGTCGTAGTAAATCACTGAACCCTTTATGTGTAAGTGCTCTCCCGATGGTGCTGAAGAAATGTTTGGTTCAAAGTTTTTTTCCACATGTATTTTTTTTCGAGTTCATGTGGGCTTTTTAAGCTTATAGAAAATCTCATTTTGGACCTTGAGACAGAAATCAAACAAATCATTCAAGGTTGCCTTGACTATGTGTCTGGTTAGACTGCCGAGGATTACACAAACAATCATGTTGTCCTCCAAAGCAACAGATCCGTATTGGATTGCTTTGTGTTTGTCGCTGCTGGGAGACAGATATTACATGATGAGATATTGATTACGGAGAATTAGGTATAAACCACGTTAATCACAGTCAAACCCATATTACGTACCACCAACCTGTAGCCGTTTGGCAACACCCATGACAATTTGTTCACATGGTCTTCATATTTACATACTTTTATCTTCGGGGCACATCATTTTGTATCTTATGTTTATGTCGTGGATAAATGCTGTAGTTAAATGTGTTATCGATATGATTGCAGGATTTGTCACAATCGTCGACTACAATAGTTCCATGGACTTGTTTAGTTGTAAATAGCTGTAAATTACTGTTGCATTTTTACATGATTTAAATAGCTTCAGTTGGTTAATCAAATAGATATAATAGTCTATATAACAGTTAAAGATATATTTGAAGCTATATTTAATCTACTTTGCCAAATGTATATATTTCTATAGTCTGTTTGCAGTGAAAACGTACTGATGAATTTCACTTTAAACAAAAAAGTAAATCAAATAAATTAAATTAAGATTGCGACTCCACATAATTTTACCTTGCCAACTGAACATTTAAAATTCTTAATTTTATTCAACTTAGGATAAAAGTTGTTTAACAAAGGATAATATTTTCAAATGGCTATTAATGGTTTGTATCACAAGGGAGTAAGGGTAGCTGTTGTAACAGTAAAACAAAGGCACGTGCGGGACGTGATGAGTGTGAACCACATTGACCAACCCTACTCGTTCTCGGTGTTTCATTTAATGTCCACACACCCTTGTAATATGTATATAGTAAACGAAAATTATGTCAACATATTACAGTTTTGTGTTGTGTTTTAACATTAAATTCTCTGGTACAGATTTCAGCATTAACTAAGTGTATGTATTCGATAGAGTGAGTGAGTGAAGTGGGTTTCACGCCACCTTGGGCACGATTCCAGCACTATCGCGACGGGGGACGAACAAATAGACTTCAAGTAGTAATCATATGGGGAATCGGACTCGGGCCTTCTGCAGTGTAAGTGACCGTTTTAACCATAGTACGTCGGAAATTGACACATAACATGAGACAAAACGATAAACAATGGGGAACGGATACCACAATGTCTTCCTAAATGAATCATTTCACTTTTTCCAAATGACAGGGCATCAATTGATGCGGTTGACTATCCATAGAACTTGTTTTTCCATCATCTTTACATCTTCTAAAATGCACTCAAAGTAGTTCATCATTACCAAACTGTCAATATATTTTGCCACAGAAAAGATCCTCTAGAAATGAAATGTGACCAGTTACACAAGTAACCACCTTAACAGCTATCCGCCTGTAAGTCTCGGTGTTAATCATATACACATGGTGGTTCTCAATACATATTCAAAGCCTCTACACTTAGTCAGTGACATTAGAAAGGTGAGGTTATGAAGATACTTGAAAGGTAGCGCAATGATCGTTCAGAGACGCTTTTATCATTCAAATATCCTGCATTAATCAAACGACCTACAGTTTCATTGGCTAGTCCAAACATATTGTTATCCAGTGTAGTCGTGCCTTAGCCCGCTACACAACAACACTAACACCCAGTGGGACTGCTCTACTGACACGGTACAGACCGTGTGTTGTCGAGCTGGCAGGTGGCGGTGGTGTTGCATGTACATCTAAGGTAAGCTGTTCATATTTCTGCAGACCCGTGAAAATCCGGGGTAGAATAGGTCTTCAGCAACCCATGCTTGTCACAATAGGCGACTATGCTTGTCGCAGGAGGCGATTAACGGGATCGGGTGGTCAGGCTCGCTGACTTGGTTGACACATGTCATTGGTTCCCAATTGCGAAGATCGTTGATCACTGGATTGTCTGGTCCAGACTCGATTATTTACAGACCGCCGCCATATAGATGGAATATTGTTGAGTGCGGTGTAAAACTAAACTCACTCCCCATATTTCTGCAATTTTGTTATTACATGTCCCAGTTCTGTTACAGAAACCTTTAACTGATATATAGTTCGTAAAGTGTATTAAAATAAGGAGATGGACCGGTTTTTTACCTTGTATATTTTGTATTTTGTGTATTTGCCAATACCAGATCTGTCCTTTTGTAAGCATTATAAATAGCTCATAAAATGACACACATCCATCAGAGGAAAAGATGTACAGGTAATGCACGCTCCATGTGAAAGACAGCCTCGACATGGCTGGTGAACTTCTGACGTCATACAAACTAACAACCACTGTTGCCAACTAAGTTTAAATGAAATTTTAGCCTATATCTTGCTGGGAGTGTATATAGTTAGGAAGGCAGCGCGAATCCCCTTATACTGTTCCGTTTGGAATTTGTAATCCGCCATTCAGGAGTTTTATACAAGCTATAAATGGATTTTTTTTCAGTTTGTCTTCATTTCCTGAAGGATGTCTACCACAGATATGCCCACCCATATCATACCTAAAGGTAAGCTGACATGCTCTCACTATCAAGTTCAAATTATCAGTCAGATGAAGAAAATACTTTTTATCTGTCTGCGTGACACATGATTTCGGCAAATGGATTAATGTAGAACTCCATGAACATCATCATTTGTGACGATTTCCATGTATTTCCATCACAAGAAAACAAAAACATTAATGCAGTCGGAAAGACTTTTCGGGTCAGGAATCGTAACCTGAATGTAAGTGTACGTCCCATTACTCTCAACATAAGAATATCTACCACTGATGTGCTTACTGTATATTGTTTATGTTATTACAGTGTATTGTGATAAAGATGGCGTCTTCACGGTTGATTTCACCGACAACGAAGAACTAGCTTGGCGGCACACTACAGAGTGGAAATGTATGCCTTCATCAGGGAAATGTGAAATTGTATATTCACGAGAAGTGCACAAATACTTCTGCAATTTAGTGCATCATTTTGACAATCCTCCAACGGTGAAGTTGGCGAGTTTACGTAACCCTGAACAGAAGGTCATTCTTGTACTTAGACATGACACAAGGAAAAGCGCCTTAGGAATGATGACTCAACTGACTGATGTGAAAGACACTGTCGTGACATTTTTGCAAACTGTGAAAATACCTGCCGATTATATCAACGTGAGTGTTCAGCTGAACGGATTGACTAAACCAGCCGAGCAGCAGAAAAGGGGATTGACTAAACCAGCCGAGCAGCAGAACGGAGGTAACAGATAATGCTATATCGCCTAACATAAACAATGTAAATATTGCACAGAAGACATAATATTATAAGTCTATTATTGTAGTAAATATTATACTCATGCGTTATGTAAGGAGTCGAGAAATGGATTTACAAGCTTGACTTTTTCGTCACATGGTCAATACACTTCTCTGACACCTGTGTTCGAGCCCATAATACGATGTGTTATGACGTGAAAACACAATGTTAACAACAAAACAGACTTTAACACCTATGTGATTATTTCTGCAGAGGGTATAGAATGGAAACAATATCACACTGTGCATTTACATATAAATACCTGAGGTCATCTCTCAGCACCTGTGAAGCGCCATTGCAGTAGCCACTGTATTGTATACTTGTAGTCTGGGGCGTACCATCCATGTATTGTTCACTTGTATAGTCTGGGGCGTACCATCCATGTATTGTATACTTGTAGTCTGGGGCGTACCATCCATGTATTGTTCACTTGTATAGTCTGGGGCGTACCATCCATGTATTGTTTACTTGTAGTCTGGGGCGTACCATCCATGTATTGTTCTCTTGTATAGTCTGGGGCGTACCATCCATGTATTGTTTACTTGTAGTCTGGGGCGTACCATCCATGCATTGTTCTCTTGTATAGTCTGGGGCGTACCATCCATGTATTGTTTACTTGTAGTCTGGGGCGTACCATCCATGTATTGTTCTCTTGTATAGTCTGGGGCGTACCATCCATGTATTGTTCACTTGTATAGTCTGGGGCGTACCATCCATGTATTGTTTACTTGTAGTCTGGGGCGTACCATCCATGTATTGTTCTCTTGTATAGTCTGGGGCGTACCATCCATGTATTGTTTACTTGTAGTCTGGGGCGTACCATCCATGCATTGTTCTCTTGTATAGTCTGGGGCGTACCATCCATGTATTGTTTACTTGTAGTCTGGGGCGTACCATCCATGTATTGATTACTTGTATAGTCTGGGGCGTACCATCCATGTATTGTTCACTTGTATAGTCTGGGGCGTACCATCCATGCATTGTTAACTTGTATAGTATGGGGCGTACCATCCATGTATTGTTTACCTGTAGTCTGGGGCGTACCATCCATGTATTGTTCACTTGTATTGTCTGGGGCGTACCATCCATGTTTTGTTCACTTGTATAGTCTGGGGCGCACCATCCATGTAATTCCTGGTTAAGACTATACTCCGTGATATTGTTTATCCTTATGAGTAACAAATGCAGCGGTTTTCATTGGGCATTGGGGAATGGGTCGGTGTTAGCAATATGAGAAGCAATTCATGAAGTTATCGGATGTACCAAGTGTTGTGACTTAACCCCAAAAGAGCTGGAATTTGTACTTCACTGTGAAAGTGAAATCGCAAATATATTCCTTGTTATACGTTACATATGTGTATTTTAAGGGTTATGTGGCATGGTTACCGATAAGGAGATGCATACAGCAATATTGGTAGAACGTTCATTTTCTGGTTAGCATATGAGATTATTCAGATGTGTGGGAAAGTTGTCTAAAATAAAACAGTTCAAAGCTGAAATCTATCAATCTTTTCTTTCATCTAAGGGGGGGCGTGTCTGTACGAGTCGACGCCGGACACTACTAGGAAATATACGTCGGAAACAATATGGCTGTGTGAAACTGATGTCGGGTTTAAGGTGGATGGCGGTGAAACGTCACAGAGACATTTTTCAAACTTGAAGGGCGCTGTGAGAGAAAAATACAGGGCATGGTTGAAATGTATTTGGAGCGGATCTGTTAAATTCTTCGTTCATCACGAAACTACACAAGACGCCCTGGAGATGACCAGTAACTATGAGGAAGTCATGGCTCTGATACTTACGTGTCTCCAGGGGATAGATTCTACAGTGAAGGAAATCCAGATGGACGTCCAGCTGCAAGACTTCATAGGTATGGTACTAATTGATTTAACAAGCTGTCCGTTGTTTGCAGATATGACGCAAAATGATTGAGATGCATACGAGGTGCGTATTGTGCGTATTGTTGTGCGTTCCCAGGGTCAGATCGGGTAGGGTAATAGGGGATCGGGTACCCGGGTAGAAATTTTGGACCCGTCCAAGCCCTAGTGTCCACCTTTTCGGACCGCTAACTGACCGCTCAAGTTTTTCGTGACAAGCACCTATTCAGAATTTTCCGACGTTTGAGCTGATGGGTGTCAATAAAACAACTGATGCTATTTAAATTGCGATCAACTCAAAATTATAAAGGAAGAAACGGAATAAGGGTTAAGCTGCAGTTGTGAAGCAGTCTGTGTCGTCTGAGTTGAGTGTGCAGTTGTAAATCTGCCTGTGCCGTCTGAGTTGGATATGCAGTTATGAAGCCGTCTGTATCGTCTGAGTTGATTATACAGTTGTGAAGCCGTCTGCGTCGTCTGAGTTGGTTGAGCAGTTGTGAAGCCATCTTTGTAGTCTGAGATGGGTATGAAGTTATGAAGGCGTCAGTGTCGTCTGAGTTGGGTTTGCAGTTGTTAAGCTGTCTGTGCCGTCTGAGTTAGGTATGCAGTTGTCAAGCTGTCGGTATTGTCGGAGTGGGGTGTGCAGTTGGCAAGCCGTCTGTGTCGTCTGGGGTGTGTAGTTGGGTATGTGGATGTGAAGGCGTCTGTGTCGTCTGAGGTGGGTATGTAGTTATGGTCTGTGTCGTCTGAGTGGGGTATACAGTTGTGAAACCATCTGTGTCGTCTGAGTTGGGTTTGTATTTGTAAAGCTGTCTGTGTCGTCTGAGCTGGGTATGCAGTTGTGAAGCCATCTGTGTGATCTGAGTAGGATATGCGGTTGTGAAGCTGCCTGTGTCGTCTGAGTTGGGTGTACAGTTGTGAAGCCGTCTGTGTCGTCTGAGCTGAGTATTCACTTTTAAAGCTGTCTGTGTCGTCTGAGTTGGGTATGCAGTTGTGAAGTCGTCTGTGTCGTCTGAGTTGGGTGTACAGTTGTGAAGCCGTCTGTGTCGTCTGAGCTGAGTATTCACTTTTAAAGCCGTCTGTGTCGTCTGAGTTGGGTATGCAGTTGTGAAGTCGTCTGTGTCGTCTGAGTTGGGTGTACAGTTGTGAAGCCATGTGTGTCGTCTTAGCTGGGTATACAGTTGTAAAGCTGTCTGTGTCGTCTGAGTTGGGTATGCAGTTGTGAAGTCGTCTGTGTCGTCTGAGTTGGGTGTACAGTTGTGAAGCCATGTGTGTCGTCTTAGCTGGGTATACAGTTGTAAAGCTGTCTGTGTCGTCTGAGTTGGGTATGCAGTTGTGAAGTCGTCTGTGTCGTCTGATGTGGGTGTACAGATGTGAAGCCATGTGTGTCGTCTTAGCTGGGTATACAGTTGTAAAGCTGTCTGTGTCGTCTGAGTTGGGTATGCAGTTGTGAAGTCGTCTGTGTCGTCTGAGTTGGGTGTGCAGTTGTGAAGCCATGTGTGTCGTCTTAGCTGGGTATGTGTTGTATATACGTCTCTTTGATCGGAAAGGGGCGTGGCCGAAGAGCGTCGTAGCGATTGGTTTCCGATCATAATTTCACCCAATTTCACTCAATCGGAGGCACTGGACCTCGTGACGTCACGAAAAGACGCGGTACCGTCACCGTCGGTTCATCGTCCTCTTTGTCTCGAAAAAAAATCGATACATTCGCGAGCCGCGATTGGTTCCGATCATAATTTACCAAAGGGAACGATTGCTTGCTATAAAAGACTATAGCGTCCCCACACTATCGTCATTAGCGTCATCAACATTCGAAATATCGTTCCGAGGACGTCAAATATTAAAAAATCGAGGTTCATACGTTCATTTTATGTATTACTGTATATATTAGGCGAAATAGAACTGACGATTTAAAAATAATAATCATAATAAAACCACACAAAAGCATTTAAAAAATAATAATAAATTGACCTAAGCCTTTAACATGACCCCTTTTGTTTCAACAGCATTTATTTCGATGCCGGTAAACTATACTATAACCTTTAGGCGCGTAGTAACAAGTCCTTATAAGCATAGACAGAAATCTATTTTCGGAAAACCACCAGCAGTGGTACACGAGACAATACAAAATTTACAACGATAAATATAATGAATAACGAGATGGACGGAGTTTACGCTGATTCAAACGCGCAAACAGTTGAAAATATATCGGGCAATACGGGTATTACGTACGAAAAAGGGTATATAAGTTCTTAGTCCGTTCACGATTGCCGGTAAGAGTATTAGGGCGGCGATAGTAACAGTTCGCGGACCCGATCCAGCCTAATGAAACGAAAGAATTCCATTCAAGGCTTAGCCTGACCCGAACGCGTGACCGGACAAAAGAATTTCATCGACCTCGCCAGGCCGTTTGATCGATATTCAACGGCGATCGATATTCAACGGCGATAACAGCGACTTTTACGCTATGACTATACGGGTGTGAGAAGCATTTGACGAAATGAAAACATAAACTGAAAGTACTCACCACGAGTATAAATCCAATACAATTCCTTCGTAAACTCCAAACACACCGCGAATGCCGCTCCAGATCCTGAGAAAATCTTCTTATTTTCCCCGGCGTTTTGTCGATTATTCGAGTCAGGTGAATATCTTATAAAAATGCGGCCTAGATTGGACAAAAAGAGCTAGCATTAACTATGGAGCTGAAATGCAATAATAAAACACTAAAGATGGACAATAAATTATAACTGAACAGTTTAAAGCGAAAGTTTTAAAGATGTACAGAAAAAAGACCATTTTAGCTTAGAATAAAAACAACAATAGCAATAACAATAACAAAATACTGCACAATAAATGGATAATCTTTGAAAGTTGAATCCTACCCGAAAAATATATGTCTGTATGAAAAATGAAATGATGAAATTAATATCGGAATTATTTTATTTATTTATTTATTTATTATTATTTTTTAGAGAACTTAAAATTTGAATAATTAATCGTAGTTGTCAGTAAAATAAAATAATGTACTTTAAAATCTAAAGGATAATTTGAGATACTAGACCGGGTAGGATTCAAATTCCAAAATTTACATCGTAGAGATACGCTCCTCATTTCTGATATGATTGCGCGGCCCAATTGTACTAGCAGTAGTAGATCTTGCTTCATCTGCAAAAGATAAGGACAAATACAATTCAGAATTAAAATAAATCTAAGTCGCGTTAGCCGTTTTATTTTCGCATCTATTAGTATAAATGAAAACTCACTTTGTCTGGGGACGAACTTTTCCCACTGACGGCTGTCTCCTCGATCCAGGAAGGAGACTGGGGGGAATCTTTCTGGGGGGAGATCTTTCTGCATTTTCTAAATTCACAGAAAACAAATTCAGGATTAAACGTCTTATATACGTTAACGCGCAGTAGAAATTAACCGCGTATGCGTGAAGATTATAGCTAAATCTAATTTGTACTGTTAACAGTGCGCTGGTTTAATGATACTCGCATATATCGTGTATGAAATCGATTTTGATACAAATGAAATCTAACTTACATTACTGACGACACTTCCCCGCCAAAACTAAGGCGTTGTCGCGCCTTATAGGGGTTCGCCAAGCCCAAAGGTGTGCTCACGGTCGTCTCCGTTATCCAGGACGGCGATCGTGGAGGACATGCTGCCGGTGTGTCCATCTTTCTGGATTCGCTAAATTGACAAAACAGAAACAAATTCAGAATTATGCGTCTTATATACGGTAACGCGTAGTAGAAAATAAACGCGCGAGCATCAAGATTATAGTTAAATCAAGTTTGTACTCTCTGCAGAGGACTGGTTTACTCATACTCGTATATACCGTGTATTATATCGATTTTGATACAAATGAAATCTAACTTACATTATTGACGGCACTTCGCCATCAAAGCTGAGGCGTTTCCTAGTCTTGCCGGGGTTCGCCAACCCCAAAGGTGTGCTGGTGCATCGGCTAGAAAAGCCGCCTCCTGTCACCGACAGTCAATTTTCTGGGCCTCCCTGCGCCTCCCTGGTGCTCAATGCCATACCCATTTGCAATAGTTTCAAAACACGATAAACAGTGGACAAAGGGATGCCTGTTCTACTTGAAATCACTTTAGCTGATTTGATGTCCTTGTTAATATAGTCTAAAATCAACTTCCTCTTCTCAAAATCATCCATACTGAGGATCACTGAAAATGTCGTCTGCTAGCAAGTAAACAAAGGGGGATAACTCTTCACAAACTAATGAAAAAGGATTAACGGAGTTGTCTTTCTAGAATGAAACCAAGCACTTGATAGCTGGTCAAAGTTGTTTATACTAGAAATCCAATTAAACATATTCCTAAAATTCTGAATAATTTCTGGTCATACTATACTTTTATGCAGTCATTTAGCACAATAACAATCCATTCCATTTGTAAAATCCGTTTTTCTTTACATGAAACAACGGACGCACAAGGCCAAACTCTTTCTTTCTTTATTGCTTGCTTAACGTCTCACTCAGCAATATTCCAGCTATCTGTAAATAATCGAGTCTGGGCCACACGCACCAGTCATCAACAGCATGAACATTGATCTACGCTACTGAGATACAAACTCAGCGAGAAAGATCACCCGATCCCGGTAGTGACCTCTTCCGACAATCATAGGTTGCTCAAGACCAATTCTAAACCGGATCTTCACGACCCATACTATTCACTGATTAAGGCTGATCAATGGCGTCCTTGTCCACGAATCTACCTGCGTTTTGCTAAATACCGTCTTTTTGAAGACCTGACGGAAATGTTAGGCATCAGAGGTATATTTCGATGTTGTACCAGTCGGCTTGGAATGACTCCCTAGTAACAGTTATATAGGTTTGTAAACAAATTTACCCTGAAGTATGAGTCAAGTCAAGTCAAGTATTTTTATTCCCTATGTAGGCTACAGGCCCATATACAACATACATACTTTTGTTTACAAATATAGATACACTTTAAAGGGCATACAT